TGGGGTCTTATTTCATTACGTGTTGATTTCTATCAACACGTAATGTTGTATCGATGTATATAGAGATGTACTACAGCAAAAGTATTCTCCGTCGGGACTTCCTGCAACAACACCACACCGTTATCTTGATTCTGATTGGCCAGAAGACATTATCAAAGATGTTCTATTGAGAAGACGATCACTACGTGACAAAAGTTTTCAAAACCGTTTCTAGTCTTCGGTATTCTTGTTTTGGCGTGAGAATAGTTTGGGGAGCGTGAGAGCGTGAGATTGAGAGTGAAAGCGTGTGTCACACGCCAGATGCGTGAGAGTTGGCAACCCTGAGTGTAGCTTGGCATAAAGACTGTAAACAAAGGTAAAAGGAAGCTATTCTGTCTTTGTCCAAACGTAATTGTATGGATAAATTAACTAAGTATAACATGTTAAATCCTTCTGTTCTGCCTTGAAATTAAGCTAACCTAATCGCCTGCTAAAGCTAACTTTAGGCCTACCCTAAATCATAACAACGGTCTCAATCTTCTAATCTAAGTCAGTCGTGGCAAGAAAGTAAATAAACACATATCCCCAAATGTCCCATAAAAAAAAGTGACATTTGTCGGAATTTTAATTTTACCTGGGAAAAGGTATTTTATCTTTGTCCCCAAACTGGGCCGTCAGCTGCAGGTTACTGCTGCATTTGTTGTCAGAGCCACACTCCTTCTGGAAGTGAATCTGCAGGAAAAACAAGAAACAATATCATATCATGCCATTACTATAGTTATTTACAATTAGACCTATGTCAATTGTTGGCTTCTCTGTACCTCAGTTTTTTGAGTGAGTTTCTGCTCCTGGCTGATTATTGGGTATGAGTCCAGGTTCTGCAGAGCACGTCTGGTTTTAGGTTTTTGTTCTTGTAGCGCCAAGCTGAGGGAGAAGATCACCGGCTCCAGTTTGTCCCTCACAGGTGACTGTAGAATCATCCAAGCATTTATATTGGTCAAGATATGTGCATGGGTAAGAGCTAACCCTAACCCCCATAGCAGTAAATAACATATGATAATTGAGGCTTTACCATTACGATCAGTTTCAGAGTCAGACACTTCTTTTTGGAAGATGGCAGACTGAGGGTGCCGGTGTATTGGTCATCATTATTGTCTGCAAAGCGAACACGAGAGCTTCTCCTCCTCTCTATATCAGCGTCCACTGTGTACGTCACCGCTTTACAAAGAAACACACACAGTACATTATACAGTTATTACAGCAGTTTAGGAAAAGCCTTAAGCAAGCTCGATTCTCCAGAGTTGGTTAATATTTATATTACACAGAGTTGTTGTTTTTTAGGTTAGAACAAGAGAATCTCAAAATGTCTAAGCACGTCACTGATTTATCATAAAGACTGCTTACTGGTATCTTTCTTGAAGTCTTTGTTTCCATTGCTTAGAGTGAAAGACAAACACAGTGTCGCTGTGATGCTGTAAAATAAAAAAGCACAAATTAATACATTGAAATCAAATAATCCCGTTTCAGAATTATACGTTCTGAGAAAAAAATCCTACCATGGTGTAGTTCCAGGACACTGATTTGGGTCCACAATATATGGCTTCACCGTGAAATTCTTGGTTAGGTGGATGACTGGTCGAGCCCTGAATGCAAATATGATATGGAGAATCAAACAGTGCCCAAGTTACAGTAACAGAAAGAGAAATATAATGTCTTTGCTCTGCCAAAGTTTCTTTTCATGCAGGTTTAAGGCTTTCTTTCAAGCTTTCACTCAACAATAATAACTTATTTCTACCTGAGCAGGGCCACTTTGTCGTCCAGAGAGCCAACTAAAATATCTGGATAGCTGTTTCCATCCATGTCGATACCTCCGTTGATGGAGTAGCCAAAGGTGTTAAATCCTCCAGACCCCACTGACTTACCCTCAATGACCTACAGAGGGCGACAATGACACACGTGAGGTCAACACAATGAATCTGGGCCTTTTTTTGTAATGCCTGAAGTGCATCCATGACTAAATCTGACATTTACCTGACTGGGCTCCTCTGAGATTCCCTTTTTACTTCCCATCCAAATGTAGACCTTTCCTGTTTCGTGGAATGGAGCTCCCACGGCAAAGTCTGCACACAGAAACAAAAAAGAGATGACATATTGGGGAAAAACATGCAAAAGCAGTCTGCTCAAATACAGTGGGCCTCTAGGTGGAACCATTGCTCTACTTCAAATGTGTTATCCATTGAAGTAGTCACAAGTACAACACAATGCATTACCACTTTTCCCTGCTGAGAGAATATCAAAGCAACAGCGCAAAATAATTTGTACATGAGAAACTGACTGCTTCCTTTTTACTGTACTTTTCAAGGAGAACTGTAAATGCACAACCAACAACAACATAATAAAAACACATCATAAAACGGAATTGAACTTCTATCATTCTGTAGTTTTTTTTATCAATGAATCTGGGTGCAAGTACTTAGCCATGTTTTCAACTTTTGAATTAGGTATTCGCTTTAATTTACACAATCCTGTCAGTGTAAAAACAAATGTTGCATTCAGGGTCATACCTTGGAATCCGTCTTGGTTGATGTCGCCAATGGCAGCCACTGCAAAGCCGAAAGCAGAGGCCGCCGGACCCTTCAGCACCATGCTGGCTTTCTTTTGGAACAATCCATTCTCATTCATGAAGATATACACTGCTCCTCCCTGATCCTTCATGCGGTCAAAGTAAAACGGTGCGCCCACAATCAGATCATTCCAGCTGTAAAAAGCAAAGAAAATGTCAAAAGAATATACTTTAAATGTCACCTATTATGAAACATCCTCTTCTTCACGCCTGTTCTACATCAGCATGTGTCCCCTCTTCTTCATGTCTCTTCTACATCAACATGTGTCCCCTCTTCTTCATGTCTCTTCTACATCAACATGTGTCTCTTCTGTGGAAAGAGACTCTGAAAGTTTCAGGAAAAAAGATTCTCTGTCTGTCACTTTAGATGAAAACAAGGAGCCCCTCCTCACGCCCCTCTGAGAGATATTTGGTTAAAAATAACTCAATGGTGCTCTAGGAGGATATTCAGGTGATAAGGTGTGTGTGTGTGGGGGGGGGGTTACCTTGGTTTGTGATTGGCTAATGGTTNCGCCCCTCTGAGAGATATTTGGTTAAAAATAACTCAATGGTGCTCTAGGACCAATCACCAACCAAGGTGACCCCCCCCCCACCTTATCACCTGAATCTCCTCCTAGAGCACCATTGAGTTATTTTTAACCAAATATCTCTCAGAGGGGCGTGGGGAGGGGCTCCTTGTTTTCATCTAAAGTGACAGACAGAGAATCAGCACTTTTGAAACAGGGCTGAAACAGAGGGGATTATGGGTAATGCTGCAATGATCTGTTGGATATTTCAAGCCAAATCCTTCAAAGACATGTTTGACATGAGACTTATAATATATTGATGAAAAACAGTATAATAGGGGACCTTTAAAATGCAAATGCATAGAAAGAAGAACTATATTCCTTGGATCTCAAATATTTGTTGAAATCTCGCTATGCATTGAGGTGGACACATGATTTCACCATGATGTCATTACGAACACCTTATCTCCGCGGCTGAGAGGACAGGTTTTATTCTCTCATCTCAGCTCAGATATACATCAGTGTCATGCCTTCTCTGCATCACAAGGCAGATCATAGCTACAGAGCACCGGAGCGTGAGGCAGCTCAAAAGCACAAGATAGAGTTACAGACGATCCATTTACACGTGAAAACATAACACTTTTCTTATTCTTAGTCTGTGAATTAAGATTATTAGCAGCTCATGATTAAAATATAGTATTAGGTTGAAAGGTTTCTAAACTAAAAGGCTTCCAATTAGTTCCCTGTAGTTCCCTGTAGTGATTGTGTCTTAAATGTTTTTGTTGCTGTTGTGATGCAAGAAAACATTATACTAAATCAGTGTTTCTCAAACCTTTTCATACCAAGGACCACTTAACCAATAAAAAACCACTCGCGGACCACCTAACTCCACAAATATCCAAAAACACATCGTTTTTCTAGAACAGATTACAAATCGCCTGAAAATGGTACAAACAAGTGGCAACATGTGTGATGAAGGTGTTGCGCTGGGCTATATCATGCAATCGAAAGCTGAAACTTAAGCTAGCTCCATTGTGGAAATATTCCCTCGAGAGTGCGGAAAACTTAAATTTATTTATTTATTTCAAATGTGAAATGTTACCAATATACTCACGGACCACTAGGGGGCGCTCACGGACCACCAGTGGTCCGCGGACGACACTTTGAGAAGCACTTTACTAGATCTAGTCTTTATGTAGGACATGGTTTTGATTTTCATTTTAAAATGTTCTAAAACCAAGGACCTCATGAGTAGAAAAACATGTATTTGGATCCCAGCCTTGACTGAACTCCATACAAGAAAGAAGAATCTAAAGAAAGTGTAGATTTGAAATGTTCAGTGCGGTGTGCAGAGACGCACTTGTCATTGTTGAGGTCGGTGACAGCTATGCTGCTCCCAAAGTACGAGCCCACTTGTTCTCCGAGGATGATGAGGTCCGGCTTGATGTCGCTGTCTGTCATTACCCCGAACATCACAGAGCCCTTGGACTCGTCCCTGGGAGACCCTGTGACCACCGTGTATTCGACCTGGCTCAGCAGCTTCTTCTCCTCAAGAACGGAGTAACCTGCGGAAACAAGCATTGGAGATCAAACCGTCATCTGACTATGGGAGGGGTTAAAGGCCCTTAAAAGCATGGAGAGAACGTTTAGAGAATAGAGAGCTATTTACCTATATAACTGTGTCGTCTTTTGATGTTACCAAAGTTTTTGGTATTGGTGTCCCAGAAATTGTCTGGATCAGGAATCCACCACGTTGTCGTTACATGAACATTCCCTTTATAACAAAGCAGAATTAGAAAACAATGTTATGTCTGCCTCATGCACAATGGGCTGCACAGACAGAGAATAATCCCAGGGTTAGACTACATCAAGAATTTAGCACACAGGCTTTAATCCTTGTCTGTGAAACCAGCCCATTATTTCAGTGATAAGTAACAAAACACCCTCTTTTTGACGTTAACTCTTCAGTGCCCACCTTGCCATTCGTAGCTGCCTGGAGATCCGATGTAGACATCATTTTCGGTGAAGCCCCCTGAGATGCCCATGTTGCACAAGCCCTCCACCTCCATATCGTTGTTGGGGTTGCAGACCTGATAAGCGTTGGTCTGCCATTCATCGCTGATGTTATAGGTCAGGTCGTTGCTCCGGACGTAGCACTTTCCTATCATCTTCAACTGGTCCTCTGCTCCGCCTTTGATGATCTTCACATAGCGATGCCCGCACGCCTGGATACCAGAGAAGAGGGAGTATTCTGGGATGTTAGGGACTGCTCGGATTTACAATGTATCAAATCTGATAGTGTATCTAATAATGAGGCTGAATCACAGCTAGACTAATTAAAAAACCTACATCTTAGTTCAGTTGTATTGCACGTAAAAAATAAACAATGACAAACAAACACCAAATAAATAAATAATTTCTGTTTAAATGCAAGTAATGTGTCCTGTGTTTAAGGCGGTGTTTTTGCCGTTGCTGTATGACAAATGTTTACTTTCTTCAGCAAAATGTTTATATAGAATATTCTTAATATACATATATATATTTTCTTTGATCAGATTTTGTAAAAACTAAATTAGGAATTTTTTTCAAAAATGAGAAAATATTGCATTTGATAGAAATATTAAAGGCAGACTGTGAGGTAAACTATAATTCAAAAATGTCCAACTGGAAAAGGGTTAATGGTTTATTTACCAATATTAATAGACATGTATGTGGAAAAAGTAAACACAATTGTATTTCTTCTACAAAATGAGCTAATTTCCTCTATCAATCATAAAAGGCAAACATCCTTCATTATAATTCTATGTGGCCTTTCCACCTATATGTGTCATTCTGTCATGTGTCATTCTGTCATGGGTGTGTGTGTGTGTGTGTGTGTGTGTGTGTGTGTGTGTGTGTGTGTGTGTGTGTGTGTGTGTGTGTGTGTGTGTGTGTGTGTGTGTGTGTGTGTGTGTCATCAGGTTGTTTTATGACGCAGTAAATATTGCAACATGCAGACTGTGGCACTGAGATACAGAGATTATTTTTATTTTAGCGTGTTACCACTCAGAGCTACAGTAAATATTACCATATAAAAAGACACCACCTGTGACACTGACTAACAGAAACAAAAATGGCTGTCATCTCACCAGCACGCGTCCCTTCAACTGGTCTCTCTGACTGGCCACCGTCACCCCCAGCCACATGCCCTCCACCCTCTCTGATGGATCTGCTGTTTACGGGGGACAAGTGGCAATTAGATTAAAACTGTTTAAAAAGAAACAATGAAAATAAAGCATAAAACATCCAGATTATTAAAAAGATTTCTAATGTTAATCCAGTGTCATATTTACTCACAAACCAGGATGTATGTGCTGCTGCTGTGACAAAACAATCCTTTGTTGCATCAATGACGTACATCTAATCTAATATACAGTCCAAAGTAAGCCATGTCAAATTGCCAAATCTTCAACTAAACCAACCCAATAAGGGAAGCTACCTGCAGTCTGCATCATGCCCCGACAAATATTAACCACACAAATGTGCTGTGATTGCAGCAACGCCACGCTTGACATCAGAAGTGATGAGGAATCTCTTTGTTATGGTTCTTACTCGTAGCCTCCGGCAGGCCTATTCACCTCCAGGTAGTGGAGCGGTAAGTCTATAAGTTAATAACCTTCAATTAAGAAAAGATGTTTCATAGCCTGGAGCTCATGGTGGAGGTGCAGCAAATAATGCTGAATGCTATAGGTCTACACAAGCTCTGTTGTTATTAAATAAAGGGGAAATATCTGATTACCCGTACAGCCTCACAATGCATGGCTGTAGACTCATTTTGGAGTCTGATAAGGTGCAGACTGCAGTAATCTACCTTCACTGTATGACTCAGGCCATCTCACTCACTGGATCTCTGTTATAACAACACTGCACTCCCCAGTTAAATGTTGAGATAAAGAATCCCCTCTCGTGCTTACTTGTGCTGACCAGGTCCATTCTGGAGCAGTCTGTGGCGTCTGTTGTGATGGGACACGAGTAGACGGCACCTGTTTCGTTGACATCTTTTAAATTATTAGATTTCTCTTTTGGAGCTCCTGTAAGAAGCCTGGAGACAGACACAGAGACAAAGAGAAAAAAGACAGGAATAGATATAAAGATTATTGGATTATAACACAGCTTTGCCATGTTGTTAGACAACACAATACAATCTGGATGATTTCACAGATACTGTTTCTAGTCTCAACACAGGGAATAAGAACAGGTTCTAAGATGAAGTACATCTATTCTCAATCATTGTGCATCTACAGCCCTGTGCCAGTAAAATACCCTAAGTGTGTAATGAGGACATATGACCCCGAAAACATTGAATTATAATTCATAATGGCAGACAGTGTTGAGTGTGTGTACGCAGTATATCACACACACACACACACACACACACACACACACACTTCAAGTGACCTGTAGATTAATAGTGGAAGGAGTGGAGCAGTGACCTGTGACGAGTCTGGGCAAAACACACGCACACACACAAAGTAGCTTCTTGGTGATGGACCTGATGTTTTGTCCACTCACCCGATCCTCCCTACATCAGCACCTTCTAACGCACACAGATCTTTGAAGACGAGGGATTGACTCGTCTACACGGCTCTGCGCTGGGACACTCTATTTACTGTCAGCGAGGGATTTATTAGCTCTACTTTGTGGGAGGAAGGTGCCGACAATCTTGTTTACTGTGTGTGTGTGTGTGTGTGTGTGTGTGTGTGTGTGTGTGTGTGTGTGTGTGTGTGTGTGTGTGTGTGTGTGTGTGTGTGTGTCCTTGTGACACATGGCCGGCTGTACAATGTGGGAAACAATAGAGTAGTCAAAGTGTGTCTTCATTCAAACTTTCTGAATGTGGACCATATGAAGATTTCACCATTATCCCGGCCAAAATCATTGTGATTGACGATCATTTCTTGATAATCGAAAAAACTATACTTAAAAATATTAAATTGGACTAGATAATACTGGAATCACTTTACCTTCTTTTAAGTTAACACACATTGTTTTTTATTTCATCAGAGATAGGACTCGTCTTTCTGTAGAGCTTTTTTTGTAAAAATCAAACAATCTTATATAATGTCATCATAAATCATAAGGCCCTAGTGCATAAATGAATAAAAATAATAACAATATTGCATAAGTGGGTTTTTTCTTACGTTATAATTCCTGTGTTATCAAAACAAGGCTCTATTATGTACTTCTCCATGATTGCAAGCTAGAACGCTTTTTAAAGTCACTTGATATTCACCATTATCCCAATCATGTGACATGCTGCTGCCAGTGATGGTTTCAGTGGAAAGTGGTGAGTCAAGCTGTTAGTCATTTCAACTGAAGGGCAGCTAACCCCACTGATAAGCAAGAATAAATACATATATTGTGTGTACCTTTACTGTAAGGTCATTCGAAAATGTCTCTTATGAGTCAGCTCTTCATTGTTANTCTGCAACAAAACCCTTTATTACCCCATCCTTGGTTTTAAGGCTGACATGCTGCTGCCAGTGATGGTTTCAGTGGAAAGTGGTGAGTCAAGCTGTTAGTCATTTCAACTGAAGGGCAGCTAAGCCCACTGATAAGCAAGAATAAATACATATATTGTGTGTACCTTTACTGTAAGGTCATTCGAAAATGTCTCTTATGAGTCAGCTCTTCATTGTTACAGGCTGATTATAAGGTTCCTAAAGGTAAAACATGCCTGAAGGATGAGGCATAACTACCTGATGTCCGAGGATTTACATGAAAAACAAATCATATACTTAGTGAAATATTGTTTGAGGTAAGCCATGGATGGTTACAGATGACTCACAGGATATTGGGTTGCTATACAAACAGAGAAACTGTGCACCAGTCACAGCCACCCCCCATATATACAAAATGCCCCCATTCAAACTTGCAATCTGTTTTAAAGTCACTTGTAAGGATATTCACCATTATCCCAATCATGAGAAACCTTGCTTCTATCTGCAACTAAACCCTTTATTACCCTATCCTTGGTTTAAATTAAAACTTGCAATCTAATCATGAGAACCTCTCAAGAGCTCAGACACAATTATTTACTCTCTGATGTGTCACCTGAGCATGAAACCACTCAGAAAGTTTGGAAATCAGTTATGTGAGTTTGTTTCCGCTTAACTAATATCAAATTACCCCCTTATAGATCTGGTACTTCCACATTTTACTATCTTGGAGATCAGAATCACAACCAGAAATCTTACAGTGGGGAAAATATAAAAATGACAGCGAAGGGGATAGTTCAGATCAAATGCAAAAAAATTAAATAAATAGACTTCTTTAAATAAGGAGGCAAGCACACATTAATAAAATATAAATCAAATAAGTACATGTCAGAAGTAAAAAAATAGCAGCATTATCAAGGTAAGGATATAAAAGAAGTGAAGTAGCAGCCAGTAATAATATTGCCAATTGTAGAAAAGTATATATTGCACTGTATTGTATTTCGGTGTGGTTACAGTCTAAATTATTGAAGTAGCAGCCAGCAATAGCAATATTAAATTGTAAATAGAATATATATTCCACATAAGCAGGCGATGCCAACCTTTATAATCTTAGTTAAAGAGTTATGCTTTTCTAATGAAATCTCATTACAAGAAAATTGGCCAGAACTAAAAGAAAGTGACCACAATACTCTACACTAAATATTTCTCACTGATGCATGAAATGAAACACAGACATCCAACAGCCATTATTTGTATCAGAAAGTTCAATTATCCCTTCTTTCTGCTACCAGATGGGCATTATCAGCGATGAATCAATTATCTTGCCACAGTGATGACAACCAGCTAGAACCAACATGGCCTCTGAGGCCAGCAGCTTCCAGTAGAGAGGGAGGAGGAGGAGGTTCAGGTAATCATTCAGTAATGTGGACAGCATCTGAGATTCCACAGAGGTCTGTAGTAGTGAGAGACAATGAGTGATATGAGGAGAACCAGGACCACAAAGCCCCCTGTGAGTGTGGAGGCCCCTTCTGTAATCTACAATATGTGTGTGCAGACATATGAGCAAGAAGTGTGTGTTTTTTGCATACATGACTATCCTGTCTACCTGAATCAGGAGTCATGGCCACATTAAATGTTGTTCAGCTGTTAACGGCACAGTGTCTCAAAACACTCACAAGGTCAGCCGTTCGTGTGTGAAAACCAAAGCAATATCCAAAACATTTAGAAAGCGCAAAGTGGAAAACCAAGAGGATAGACAACACTGTTATAAAACACTTAGAGGCCAGTAGGTGTGAACTTTGCACACAGAAAAAAACCTGTGAGAAATTGAGGGCACAGAGTACAGCGCTAATCACAAATTCTTTAAGGAAGCGTGGGTAACTTGGCTGGCAGAGCGCATTTCTCAGCAAACCGGGGAAAATACCTTCTAAGATTATAAACATGACTGTTGTCTCACTGTCTCTTCAGAGCCGCGTGGGTCAGCTGTGTTTGTTGTGGAAATTCAACTCTGCTGATTGACACCGCAGGTTTGACATACTGTACATGAAGACACAGCTTTAACACTGGGAAGTGCTATTTCCAGGAAGGCAACAACTTCATTTAAAGGTCCCATGTCATGGCCATTTCCACTGATCATAATTCCATTGTTGAGGTCTACTAGAATAGATTTATATTGTGCAAACCAATTTTCCAAAATCACTTTGGTTTCTCATACAGCATCTCTGTAAACTACGTGTATTCACTGAATTTCACTCTCTGCCTTTAACGGCTCTTTGTAGCTCCAATAGCTCCAGCCCCCACCCTCCCTATGAGCACAGTGTGCTCTGATTGGTCGGGACGTTGTGAATCGCGCTGAGCTCCGCGGAGGTGTGGTTTCCTTGTTTAGCGACAGCGAAACACAGCCAAACTCACCCTGAGCACACACAAAGTCACAGACGAAGTAAAAACAATAAGTGTGGCTTGATATTGAGTAAGAAAAAGGTTGATAAACGCTGTGAGAATGGGTCTGCAGAGAGAATTTCGCCGCAATCCCAACTGTCTGTTATCAGCCTGCAGCCAGGGAGGAGAGATCAGCAGAGCTGCCTGCACTGAGTGTGTGTGTGAGGAAGTCCGTGGATTGGTCAATTTGGACCAATCAGCGCGGGCTTAACGTAACGGCTCCGCGGACGTAACGTAGTGGCTCCACGGATTGGTCCATTTGGTTCCGGGTAACACATGACATCATGAGTTACCTGAAGAATCAATGGACAGTGACGTATCTCCAACGAGGTGTTTTGGGGAGGTATTTTCTTTGTTAGAGTTTTACTCGCTACAGGGTGTACTTTGAGGGTTTTGACTCTGCAGACCGTTTACATGCATAAAAACCTTCATAACACACAAGGGGACGGGTAATAACCGGAAAAGCATGACATGGGACCTTTAAAGGAATAGTGGGAAATACACCTATTGGACTTTTGAAAAAAACTACATTAGAACAGGGAATGAAAAATGGCAGCTGGAGCTCTTACCGACCAATGGGAAGGAAGTGGACTCATACATAATCAAAGTGGACATAAAACATATCTGTCTAGCTTTTGTTTTTTTAGGAGCTGCTAAAGTGTCCCTCAGAGTTATCAATCTCATATCTGTGCTGTTAAAATAAAACTACAGCCAGCCAATTCTTAGCTTAGCTTTGCACAATGATCGGCTAGTTTTGCTCTGTTTAAAGGGTAACTTAGATACAGCTCCTTTTGTTGAATAAAAACAAACACTGTGAACAAGTTTAACATTTCATTTATATAATTAGTAAGAGAACAAAACATGTTTCAAAGGTCAACAAAAAAGCTAGTTTTCAATGTGATGACCTTACATTTGTCACTTTATACAAAGTTAATCTCCTTGCATAAAGGGACTCATACCGTTCAATGGGAGGAGGAAGTGGAATCAAACATTATCAAAGTGAGCCTATAACATATCTTTCTCTTGCTCTTGTATTTGTATGGGCTGCTAAAACCATTCTCATATCTGTGGAGTAAATATGAAACTACATTAAGTTAGCTTAGTTTACGCTTAGCATGATAACTGGAAACAGCTAGCTAGGGCCAGTTTAAGGTAACTAAGATCCATC